GCTTGCCCAGAAATCTGGAGGCAGTATCACCTAACAGTGAGTAGAAACACCTTTTTTATTTTCCCCAAGACCCAGCCTATTTACCCTTCTCTGAACTGCAGACCATAAAATAGAGACAAGCATCTCCTGCTGGAAGATAATAAACATCTGAAGGGTTTTTTTACGGAGAAAGCAGTAATAAGGTTTTTCTCTTCTCCCACCCCTGATACTCTACCCTCTGCCTTCCTGTTCTTAAAAGGTTTTGATTGCTTTGATTATTCACATCATTGAATGATTACATCATAGTAGTTCTCAGTCTTCCCAGTCCACTGAATTGAGGGGGAGGTGGAGGGGAGCATGCCAGGGGCCCTGAAAAAATAGTAGTCATCCAATATCTTCCAAATGTTGCATCATCGACAGCCCGCAAGCATAAAATCTCCAGTGTCTTCCAATCTACATTTTCCTGATTCTAGTGAAATATTATATATTTTAAATGACGCTTGGAAGAACCTAATATATCTTTCTTAAAGAACAATTCAACTGTCATAACCTTAAACCCCCTCTTGGCTTATTATGCAATATGTATAAATAACTACATATTGTAGTAGCCATTCAAGCTATTCCGTTTTCTGCTTTTCTTTCTGTGTGTGTGATTTTTAGGCTAAGTGGAAAGAATCATAAGACGTAGTTTGCTATAGACTTTATTTGGCTAACGACCAATATCATGAAGTCCGTTTGCTTTTTATGTTACTAATGAAATGTTGCTTTGATGATTCTTTATAGCCCCATTGGTCATTTCTGTTAACATACTCAACATGTTTAAGATATAATAACAAATATTTGTAAATAATATAATGTAATTAAAAGCTGTTCCTTAAAGTTTAGGGTGTTAAAATTTTATTCACAGGAAGATGGGTAGTAAAGTAGAAAAACAAAAGTTTTTCTAAAACATGACTCACACTTCTCGAAAGAAAAGCAAGCCAATAAGCCAACTCAAGACTCACCGGTCTGTCAGCGGCCCAGAGGAAAGAACATTACATGGTTTTGCTTTATTTTGTTATTACTTTAATTCATTTGACAATTCTTTTTCTTTTTAATTATTTTATTGGGGGCTCGTACAATTTGCATCACAATCCATACACTCATCCATTGTGTCAAGCACTTATGTACATTCGCTGCCCTCATCATTCTCAAAACATTTGCGCTCCACCTCAGCCCTTAATATCAGTTGCCTATTTTCCCCCTCCTTCCCCACCCCGTTTGACAATTCCTAGTAGAAAGCGGCAATTCCTTCCATACTCTTAAAAAATCTTGGTAACAGCTTCAGTTTATAGAAATATGTTTGTATGCATTCGTATGTTATTATGTGTAGAGAGAGGTAATTACACATCTTACCCATAAGGATTCACTCTGTCGCTGTGCTTTGGTAGCAATTTTTTTTTATCACATGCTAGGGTAACATCTTTGCAGCTGAATTTATTTGAAATTTAATCATCTCATACTTTTCAAGATCATTGTTTTAAGCTGCATATCCATCGATTTCCACATCTTTTTTTATTTAATAATATCTTAGACGTCATAATGCATTTATTTTCCCTTCTTCCCTAATTTAGAGAACTCTAGTCTTGAAAACTTAAAACATGGGTATTACTATCTTAAAGCCACTATTTTCATTATTTGCCCCTGTGGTTTTTTTTTATCAAACGGGATAAAAATTAGTGTAAAATAATAAAAATATTTTAAAAATTATTTGAATATTTTAACTTTTTAGAAATATAAGCTATATAAAAATGATATCTAGGAAAATTAAAATAAGAAACCAAATGAATTTTCTTTAGGGGAATTACCATATATTCTAGCTATAGTTGTAACAAATTTATTTTGAAAAATTTATCTCAACCTGGCATCCCGGTTAATTTCTCAAAATTAATATTGAAGTGACTTAAAATTTATTATCGAATTTAAATTAATGTACTGTGTGAGTATAAATGTGAAATTGGTATATTTATAAACATGCATGCTTATTTTATTTGTCGGTTCATCTAAAATAAAACCGTTAAATATGGAAATTACAGTCGAGGTGTAGAGGAAATATCCAAATGCAGTAGCAAATCTTGGGTAAGGCCCAGCTGCAGGGTGAGGCTCCTTCATCTTCAGCTGTTTACTCGGCGATGGGCTGCCATCTATTGACTCGTAGCAGCGCTCACACCTGATTGAATGTGGCATCCATCAGAGCAGTGGCCAAGCCACGAAGCCTCCGTTAGCATTGCGACTGTGTAATCATTTAAACTAGTCTGCTTAAAACTCCAGAACTGTCTAAACTTAATTATTGATCCATTTCTTTTCCTAAACACAAAGTGATCATTATTTATCCAAAGTGAACTGTGTTTCTTTTGGAGGGGAAATTTGATTAATATATCCAGTTTGCAAATGTTTACATTGGGGAATTTTTCAACCGCTTTTATTTGCCTCCCAACCAGTAAGCCTCGTAAGTCATTTACAGAGCAACTTACATTTTAGCAACTACTAATTATGATCTGTCCACGAATCATTTTTCAAATGCTATAGTTTAAACACTTAAGGAAGGAGATGAAGTCGCATACTATTTTAAGTCAAAGGGGACTAGTAAAGTGCTTCAAATCAAAATTCTCTTAAAGCACATTCTTAAATAAGAAAATGGCTATAGGGAAAAACTCACTGTAAGCAATTTCATAAGATAATAAAACACTCGTAAGTCCTTATAGCTTAGTAGAATAGATTTCAAGTTAACTTTTGACTAAACTTTACTACCTTATTAAAAACTAATCCACTATTCTGAAAGGATACAAGCTAATAAAACTCTAAAATTACATTTACCTTTTTATGTGACATATAGCATATATTATGACAACTATATAACTTTTCCTTTATAAATCGTAATGATTATAAAGTTATATTAGATACTTTTAGATTATTGATTTAGAGGCAACTGGAGAAAAAGAAAAATTAAGATTTGTATTCATCAATTAAATAATTGTGCCCAAACAATTAGAAGTATTTCACTTCTTCGAAAAGTGTTTTTTTAAGTTCGAAAGACCTTTAGCAGTACAACACTGTTTTTGTATCTTAATTTCTATATATTTTCAGATTTTGGTAAAGCTTGGCCCTGAAACTCTTTTTACCTTTCAAATAATTCATTCCAGATAAATGTTTCCCTTTTTAATTATTCAAGAAGGAAAGTCCCTTTCCCCATACCCTGCCATTTCTAGTCCTATTTATTTTAGAAATCCTAGGGCAAAAATGGCCACTAACAAAGCTGCACAACACATTTTTTCACTAGTAGAGGCTGTAATTTGACATGCTTTGGACGGTTTGTAATCTACTTACTTTAGAAAGTAACCAGGAGTGTGCTGTTTGGGGCTGTACGTGCTAAGAGCCAGAAAGGACAATACATCTTCTATGTTTAATTTTGCGCTTAGATTTCTTTGTGTGCTGTGTTAAAGCATGGTATACCCTGCTATATCCTGCAGCTGTTTTTGTTTAAGTGAAAACTTAAACAGAAAGCAAATGTAACTTTTTAGAAAAGTTAAGTTTCATATGTTTCTTTAAGTGTGTGGAATGCCTAGAATTCACACTTCAAAAAGTCAGAGCTATTCACTGTGAAATGTGGAGAACAATGGCTTTCCTAACGCTCCTTCCTGGCATGGACAAGTCTTGGCTTCTGGCTGTCAGAGTTCCCCATCTGCTGTAGTCAGTGCTGTCGCAGGTGAGAGAATGACATGCTCTGTGTTACGGACCATCCTTCACACGATCTCACTTCCTTTTGCTGTGGAGTCCCCTCTTCTCCCTTGGGCACATCAATTTAAGAGATAGTTCTTGGATTTCCGTAGTATAGAAAGGAGAGTTTTACACTAAATGATAGTACTGCTGCCTAAAGTGTGCCATGCCATGGCAGAAGATGGGAAATCCTAAATACCAGCAGGTGTTCATTTAACTGTAGAGCCATGTTGCATAGTCCAGCAGGAAGGAGTAGGAAAGTAGATCTGGTAGTTTTGATGCTATGGCTATACCCCCACCCCCACCCCCACCCCCCAAAAAAAGTCTTTATCCTGGGATTGTGCTTGCTGTAAGGTGGGATGTAACAATTTTCTAACTGCCTATAGCTAAAATGGAATTTGTTTTCCTATAAAGCAACTTAAAATGGGATATCAAAGAGTTTCAAAAAGTCAGTCCCGAGCCAGAACCTTTTCGGTTCCAAAGGAAAAGATAACTCTCTCTCTCTCTTCATTGGATATATATGGGGAATCCTAGCTACCTTTCTGAGAGCACCTTGGCTGCATAAGCAGAACTGCAAACCCCGCAAGAACCCATCCATCCACTTAGTGTAGAGCCAAGTGAAAGATCTATCTTTTTGTCTTTATTTTATAGAACTAGTTGCATGTTGTATTTTAAAACATTAAATATCTCCGAAATAGAATGCGACCTAACTAGGTCTTTGTATCATTTTTGGAGGCTTGTCAAACAGATCATCATAAACAACACTTTACAGAAGCATTTTTTTGCTTTTGTTTTGGTGTTTTAAATTCACTTTGCCAACTCCCTTAGGAGCCAAGAATATTCTTGACTAAATTCTTTTTTGTTTTTTCCATACCTGGTATTGCTACTTCAGTATTTTTGATCAACTATGTGTTGCTATCAAAAATTACATTTCTGCCTGATTTTCAGATTCCGTTTTTATTTAAAATGCCCCAAGTACTAAAACATTACTAAGTTGAAGGTACTCCCCCTGGTAACTCAGAAGGTAGATCACTGTTTCCTAGGACCTCGGGGCCATCTTCCTATCGTTGCGCTGCAAGAGAAATCAGACTACTTTATCTGTAGCATTACTTGTCTTTGAACAACTGAAACTTTTTGAATTATCAATAGAAGGCTTGTTTTCTAATCCTCCACCCATGATAATAGATAGATATAAAGTGCATTTGGACAGTAACAATTCTTCGGATTTTCAAATGAAAAGTGTATGTGAATTTAGTGTCAAAATTATGCTGGTAATTCTTTTAACTTCATGTTTTGAATTT